AACAAACCAACAAGAAACAAGAAGAGAAATAAAAGAAAAGAAAAAGATGCAAGTTCAACAAGAAAAAAGACAAGCTGTTAAAATAAAAGTGAAGTTGAATATAGGTTAGAGCAAGAAACTCCAAGAACAAAGGAAAATTTGACAAAGGCAGAAGAATGATTCAGATATAAGAACTCTATTAATATATTTTAAAGTATCTGTCGAACTCGCTCTAGCACGCCAGAAAAGAAAAAGAAAAAAAATTAGAAAAGAAAAGCAAAATAAAAACAAAGGACAAGACATTCCTGGTCTTACAGAAGCTAAAGCATTAAACAGGATTCAAGAGGAATCAAAACCAAAAATCATATTTGCAACTCCAGAAGATTGGTTAATAGAAGTAATATATCAAATCAGTATTAAAAATAACTCATAATATAACAAGAAAATGTGAAAAAAGATGGAAAAAGATCTTTTAGCAAAACGGATATATAAATAGAAGTCACTGAATACGAACCTATCACAGAATACAGTAACACCTAGGCTGAGGGGTGTCAAAATTGGAAAAGAAAAAGAAAAACATATTATTAGGAATACTAGAAAAGATCTTTATAGGACATCTTAATAATCAGAAGATCTTTAACAAAATACAAGAAAGATTCTTGGGAAAAAGACCAAGTTTCAGGAGAGAAAAGAAAAATAAGAAGCCCAAGAAAAAAAGAGAAGAAGATTTCTATACTCAGAATACAGAAGAAAAAGAATTAAACAGTCAGATCAAGACCCCAAAATGAAGAAACTGAAAGAAAACTTAAGGCATCTGAAGAAAAAGAGGAAGAAAAAGAGAATGTACAGAAGAATATTTCTGGAAGAAATCGATAGATCAAGCTTTCAAGCAGAAGAAGAAAGAAAGTATGAAGCTATAAACCAGGAAAAAAAGTTATAAAAAAATCAAGAGAAGACTCTCAAGACCCAGATTTTATATTAGAAAAGACAGGTTGAACTAGAAGAGGAGAAAAAGGAAAAGAAATATAAACACGAACGAGAGAATTTTGGCAATATCCCTGTAGTGAAAGAAGAAAATTTTTGGTTTATTCATAGAAAGTTAGATTTAGATCTTTGTTCAAAAAAGGTAGATAGTTTAGAAAAAGAAAATTGCCAATTTAATGTAGTTAAAAATTCATTTGTTCTGAAACCGTCTTGTGATGGTTTTCTAGTCTAGCTTGGTATAGCTCTCCAGTACAGACAATAGCCTTAACTAGTGAGGCAGACCACACTTGGGCACCCTTAGGGGTAGCCGAGTAATGTCAGATCTGTAACTTAGATAGTATATAATGTTTTATATTAGCTTTGATCTAATAAAGATACCAGCAAGGCTGCCGATATATGGAAAAAAAAAATATCTCCTGGTGTAAAATAGATTTTTACTATATTAATAATATAAAGTATTATATACTGATAAGATGTAATTTTATGTGTAGAACAAATTTTGTTAGGGTATAAAGATAGAATTAATTAGTAAAATTTTGAAGATCATAGAATTTTTTAAAATTTTATTAATAAAATTATCAAAATCTAAACTCTAACCCTAATTCTAAGCTGAACTTTAATTTTATTAGTTTAAAAAATTAAAATTAATCAAAATTTGGTATATTTTTTTAATATATTAATAATATAAAGTATTATATACTGATAAGATGTAATTTAATATGTAAAGCAAATTTTGTTAGAATATTAAGATAGAATTAATTAGTAAAATTTTGAAGATTATAGGATTTTATTAATAAAATTATCAAAAATCTTATGATTCTCAAAATTTTATTAATGAAATCTATTTTTATATACTAAATTATCTAATTATACTTACAGGTTTTGTAAATCAAGTTTGTACAAACAGACAGTCAAATTCGTACAAGCAGAAAGTCAAATTCGTACAAGCAGACAGTCAAATTCGTACAAGTAGAAAGTCAAATTCGTACAAGCAGAAAGTCAAATTCGTACAAGCAGACAGTCAAATTTGTACAAGCAGACAGTCAAATTCGTACAAGCAGACAGTCAAATTCGTACAAGCTAACAACCAAATTTGTGCAAGCTTACGATTAAATTTGTACTATGATA